CCTCAAACAAAAGAGAGCTAGGCAGGATAAAGAGGAGCATTTGAAAAAGGTTTTATACATTTCAGATACCTTAGAACTGACACAAGATACCTTTGGTCTTATGTAAAATAAATATGGGGTTTCATTGTCATCAGGTGTGGATGCACAGACTTTGGTAAAAGGTATTTCCCAGGTTAACAAAGCTGTGGTAAATTTAATGTGGGGATAGTTTGCCGTCGATCATAGCATTATTTCGTGTATTTTGAAAATGTATTGTTATTTCAGCTAAGATTTCAACTGACATTTTTTAGTCCTGGGATGGGTGAAGGTACATATAATTTATATATTTTTTTTATTCTTGGCCTTAGATTCCATTTTGTAGTTTAGCTGCATCCCTTTGTTTGATTATCTGCCAGGGATAAAACATATTTTTTGGTAAACCTCATGCCTATGCAGTGTCCAACAATGTTGATTTAATCTTGATTTAATCTTAACCTGAAAACTGCCATGTCAACATCGATCTATAAAACAGCTTGAAAGAAACTCCTTGAAATGAGCAATTTTTTTACAGTTTTATGTTGATGTGATATGTGTAATGAAGAATCCTGATAAGCCTTCTTGTCCTGGGGAGCTGTGTGAGGGGAAGGCAAAATAAATATATTTATTATATATAAACACCAATGAAATACCAGGTGAGCTTTTGCGCGAAAAAATGATTTCTTTATGCTTATTTTCACATGTGAAAAGATCACCATTGTTATGGCTACATAATAAATCGTGCCTTTCGCAGAAAAAAATATTTAAGTGAAATGGTTTGGAATTTCATTGGTGTTTATGTAATAAATAAAACATTACATGGTCGCTTGGAGATACAAAATTTCTCCTCTTGTGATGAAAAATATTTTTCAACACTCGAAGAGAAATTTTGTATCTCCAGTGGCCATGTAATATCCTCTATGCAAACTAATTAAATAATAATAGTAATAATGATATTGAAAATGATAATGACAATGATAAATGATATTAGTGATAATAATTATGACAATGATAATGAAAATAATACTACTCTCACTGTTGTTATTTTTGCTTAGTTGTTTTAGTTTCTTGCTGTTAATAGTACATGTTGTGTTTAAAAAAATTATTTTACATTAATTCTCTCGGTCTAAATTCTTTCTCACAATTAGATCCAACCACTATTTGTTACTGACAAAGCATCTCTGATGGAGTATAGAACCTCTAAAGGTGCTGTTTCTCACTGTAGTGTTCTCAACTCACAGTCGTCTTTGATCCACTCTGTACAACCCTCAGATTGTATTGATAATGGTTATGTACTTGGAGGTGTCACCATGAAATTAATGGATGAAGTTGCTGGAATAGTTGCATTCCGACATTGTAGAACAAATGTTGTGACAGCATCAATAGGTAATATATAGCTACCGTGTTATCAATAAATATTACAGTCGCAGTTAATAGAGAGCTTTAGATTTGAGGATGAGGAGGACTTTGAGTATGAGATTTAACTTAAAGCTTTTTCGCATATTCTGGAAAAATATTCAATCCGGCAAGCTTCACTAATTGTACTGTTTTTCACCTGAAAATTTAATGCAGTTATTTTTATTGGAGAAGGTTTAGCCCTTTCCAAATCCCAATATGATTAAACTGCTAAAATTTGATAACTTGTTCCCACCACTGCTCCATTCTTGCTAAAACTCATAGTGGAATGATGATGGCTATCACGTTTTCCCGCCAAAATGACATTGGCTCAGACAAGAGCACTACTTAGTACTTCTAAGTGCTTGTAGTTGTCCTTGTCTTAGAATCTAAAGCTCTCTAATAATTATCGGAATGCTTAATTAAGACACCAAGTGGTACCAGTGGCATGGTGCGATTAGATTAGTATCTATCATAGATGTGATTTGCCATACAAATTCTCCTCACTGATATCTCCATTATAATTGTATCAAAGAATGTTTGGAAAAAGTTGATGAGGGCCGGTATAATAGTCTCAGTACATAAGAGGCTAAATCAGTTTAATGCTGCCCTTACGTTAGAGCTAAGAGTTGTACGTTATGCTTTGCTTTTATTTGCAATTTTTTGTTTAACACCTTTTTTAGATTCTTTTCTTAAGAGGTACAATGCATTGTAACTAAAATTATTTAATTGGCAAGTCAGTTGTAGATATTTCCAATAATGAATTATAAGCTTGATGTCATTCATTTTATATTTACATTTATGTTTGCATAATGTTACTGACTTCTGTAGTAGGTTATTAGAACCATGCATCTGCTTTTGTTAAAGTGCAGAGTTACTAAGAAATTTTGGACTATAGCCCTCAACAATATCACTTATCAGTGAATCACCATCTTAATGCTAAAGGTACATGATTGTTATCTTCAGTTATTCTCTTTCTTCCTGAAGTTTTAATTTGTCAACAGATGCAATTGACTTTCATGCACCGGTGAAGCTAGGTCATGTAATACATTTGGCTGGAAGAGCGACTTTTACCAGCAGTCGTTCAATGGAGATAGAAGTTGTTGTTGATTCTAAAGATTATGTATCAGGTATAGCTGTTTAGTTTCAATAGGCCTACAATGAACCCCACCCCCACCAAAAGTAAAATAAAATAATAATAATACTGTAAAATAACGACCCCCCCCTCCCCCCCCCAAAAAAAAAAGGAAGAAAGGAAAAAAAGAAAAAAAGAAAAAAAAAATCAGCAAGCAACAATAACATCAAAACAAACTATAATAATTATTGAAGGTAAAATAGACAGTTGAAAAAGGGAAACAAATACTGTATTAAAAGGAAAACCTTCAGAGTCAAGATAGAGCAGCAGGATCCTTCCTGCTGTCCATTTAAGGGAGGTGATCTTTTTAATATCCAGTGTTTCATTGGTGGATCTCTCGGCTGGCTGCCCTGGGTCTAGTTGCATGAAACCTAGGCTAGTGAGGCCTCAAGAATTTTGTTTTGACTCTGGGTTTTAGCGAATGGTCCATGGATAGGGTTTCCTTCGAGGTGGTGTACCTAGGAATCATCAAAAGCCAGAGTTAAGATTTCTATACTGCCCCATACATATGTTATATTACATTGCTAGCCTCGCTTTGGTGCAAATAGACTACGGCCGGCCGAGAGTTCCACCATATTTTGCATCGATTGTAGAGTTGCCTGTTATTGCTGAGGAGAGAGAGCCTCCCTATTCAACTGTCCACTGAATTTAATACCTTAATGTCTTTTGATCAATCGAGTTTCACCTAATAATACATAGCATATTTTGGTTTCATGTGACTCCTAACGGGTTCGAAATTTGGAAACAACGTAACTAAATTTAATTGTATCTGGACGTACTTTAATACTGTAGTTTACCGCGAAATATACCCTGCTGTTTATTTACCATTTTTTTTGTTCTTTTTCTTTCTTTCACTCTGTCTCTCTCTCTTTATTTCTTTCTTTCTTTTTGCTTTCTCTCTTTGTCCTTTTTTTCCCGTCGTTGTTGTTGTTGTTTTTCAGATTAACTTTTCGCCTATCTTTTAGATAAGAGTGTGAGAACGTGCAGTGCGTTTTTTACATACGTCTCATTGGATGCTGATGGACTGGTCAAAGACATTCCTCCTCTTGAACTACATACAGATGAAGAACGAAAGCGGTTTGAGGCTGGAAAGAAAAGATACCTACACCGCATAGAAAGTAGGACTAGTTGCAGGTGAATAGTCCATTGAACTTTATGAGTAAACCTGCTTTGTTTGCCTCTGGCTTCAGCAAAGCGAAGAATAAGAAACAGTTCGGTCCTTTTGCGTGAGTACAGCTAATATAAATTATACAGCATGCTGCAACAGAGGATTTTTCCCTCGCCCCCGGAGCCCGCCAGATAGCTGGCTAGCTCGCAGGCTCAGTGATGTTTTTTTTTTTCGGCTTAAGAGCATAATGTTTTATA